TGTTGGTTATCAAGTATGTTAGTATTAGGAAAGACAAGTTCAACTCTATTCTATTCTAATCCATACCAATATTTTCCTATTCTATTCTATTCTATTCTATTCTATTCTATTCTATTCTATTCTATTCTATTCTATTCTATTCTATTCTATTCTATTCTATTCTATTCTATTCTATTCTATTCTATTCTACTCAATTTTACTCTACTCTACTCTACTCAATTCCACTCCACTCCACTCCACTCCACTCCACTCCACTCCACACCACTCCACTCCACTCCATTCCATTCCATTCCATTCCATTCCATTCCATTCCATTCCATTCTATTCTTTTCTATTCTATTCTATTCTATTCTATTGCGCTTATTTCTCATTTACACTGTGTTATGTTGTGCTGACTATGGTGTTAGTTTAAAATTGCTCCTCAGCTTAGCAATAAAAGAACCCAGCATTTATCCTTTAGTGCATCAACTCAACAACAAGCCTGATAAAATTTCACATGTCATTTCCATCCCATTATAGTCACATTTGTTGCACCCATACCTAGCATGATTTGGCTCTTTGACACAACTTTGCAAGCTGAAAGCCTTCATTAGACAGCCAAAATGAATGGGGAGAAAAACAAGGCCATCAGGAGATGTGGGAATCACAATTTTTTGTTTTCAAATACACCAGCAATCAGTTAATATTACCTTTAATGAATGAAATGATTTCCATCCACACCAAAGTGGGATGATAGTCAAGTTTGCTTTTGTTAATTTTAGGCCATATTTCTTGCGCGAACAAGTCATACGTGACTTCTTTTCTAGGATCAAAATTTCTCTGTTCTGCTTCCTGCTCGTCCATATCACCTCCCAAACCATCGTCATTATCTGAATCATTTTCTTCTTTGTCATCGTCGTCGTCCTCTTCTTCCTCAAGCATTGGAATGAATGCAGCTGCACCATCTATAAGTATATTACTCAATATTCATACACAGTCATACATCAAAGTATCGGTGTGATTTTTTTTTTTCATAAATTAATATGTCATATTCAAATTTGGTTTAGATGGCCATTGTTGGAACATGCAGTGGTAGACATATGCAGTGGCAGTTTTGCATTTTTGGGTTATATTTTAAACCTAAAATTTGCCAGCAACAACAAACTTCACAAAGAACCTTACAATACAAACTTGAAATTGACACCAAAATGGTCGTAACTCCAAAATTATACATTTTTTAAGATTTACTTGTAATATACAGACCTTTTCCCCAGCCTGTAATTTCTCGTTTCAATGATCCATCAGGGTTTCTGGGAAAATATGGATCAGGCAGTGAAGCATCTAGCATCAGTAACCACTGGGTGGAATTCAAGAATAATGGAAACTGAGCAGGGTGTGCATCTTGTAACCTGTGTGGTACTTCATTGTCTTCTACTTCAACATGTTCCTTGGCTGCATCACAGGCATGACTTAAATCTCGAAAGTTCTTCTGTACTTCGCTACATAGAACAGCATTCTTTGTGATGAATATTTGATGCAGATGGTCCATCATGGTGTTATCTTTATTGTTGTCTCTATTGCCGCCTCGCCTAATTAGACTAGGTGGTCCTGGTGAACATGAAGATTTAAAACTTTCCAAATCTATGAAAAAAAAACAAGAGGCAGCTTATTTGGTTATGTGTACTACAAGTACATGACCTAAAGACTAATATGATAGCCAGAGGTTATTTGTGGAACAAGATTCAACACACAGACATGTTTACAGATGGAAAGACAGACAGACATCAGTATGAAAATATCTCTTATTTTCACTTTGGACACACGGGAATCGGAAATTCAAAAAGGTGAAACAAATAATACACACTCTGTGGATAAGCAGGGACACAAGAAAAAATGACTGGAAATGAACAATAACTATTGCTTTCCTGAGATAATGTAATCATCTGAAAAGTCACATGACTTAAATGTTTTGAATATCATTATCTTATAAAACTTAAGAAGGTATTTCATAATTTCGTATACAATTATTCTTTTTGTTATGTTCACTAAAAATGATTTATGTTGATATGGTGGAAATATAAATAAACTCATTTTACCTCCATCCATAGTCTCTGGATCCGTATCAGCCTTTATTTGCTCCCCCGTTGCATTCCTCTGATCTTGCACAAATGCTGCATCCCTGGGTATCCAGGGTCCAGTGTGGGCTGCATGCTCCCAATAATTCAGAAATGAGCTCCACATTCGATACAGACAACAGGTGGTCTTTCCTGCAAATTAAATACAAGATATATAAATCACTATAAGATAATGAAGACATTTTCACGAACATTATCCTAACAATATCAAAGGCTGCCAATCATTAAAACACATGAAACACAACGCTAGTCTTCAATATTGGAGAAGAGGTGTCAAACGTGATTTACCGGTACATTTAGTGCATGTCACAGACATCAGGGATCTGATAGATAAATGGGCCCTTAAGTCGAATAAAGGGGCCCCTAAGTCGAATAAAGGGGCCTCTAAGTCGAATAAAGGGGCCTCTAAGTCGAATAAATTGTTGGCATTGCTTAAGTAATTGGCCCCAAATTAAAACATTAAAATGGAATGCAAAATAAAAGTCATTATTATTTTTGGAAGTGACACACACCAACTTTTAATATAATATCCAGTTTTGATGACCCAAAGAGAAATTCTGTCATTATAAATGTTTGTCATTTAAAACAGTACCGGGTATATTTATTATTTTACAGCCTAACTGGGGCAGTCTTTCTAAAACTTGATGGCCCTAATGTAAAATTCTAGGATCTAGGTGTCTGCCTTAGTTTTTAGCACTGCTTGCATTGATTTAATCAGAAAAATTTGAACACGACCACCGCGCTTTAACTGCTCTGTGGGTTTTTTAGCTTGGCTGATTTTGTTCATACTTGATAGGCAGGTCGTACTGTCACTAATTAAAAAAATCTCGCTCATCGCTGCCATGGCAACAGCCAAAAACTGATTTTTGAATACTTTCATCCCAAATTTATTACCTCCTACCAGTCTTGTATTATAGCAGTGTTCATATGATCATGTTTTTTTTATATTTTGGCTACGTTGCATACTGGTAAGAGATCATCGGCGCCAACATTGTTACACTGTATCAACGTATTAAATCCCAACGCAACTTTGAATGAACTGTAAATGCTGTCTTCAGAAAATACTATCGCAAAACGGTTGGAAATAATAAATTTAACAGCAGAATACGTCCTAGCAATACAATAAAGTGACTTCTAAAGACTGAACGTGTATTTGTGAACTTCGTATACAGTTTTAGTTATAAACCGACGTTAGCTTCACGTTCATGTCCTACCATGGCAACAGCCGAAAACATGATGTTGCTTGTTTTTGAGCGGAGCGGATCGCCAACCAGCCTACCGGCTTGTTTTATAAACTGGCTTGGTAATTCCCACCACCAATTAGACCATGTCACAGCATTTCAAGTACTTTTCCAACAAATCCAAAATAATTCGATAATTTTGTTTACTTTACGGTTTTGCAATATTAGAGGCTGTGAACTTGTCCATGGAGGCTGCAAATTAATAAATATTGTATTCACTGACATTTATTTTGTATTTACATTTGCAATGAGTTCCACAGTATCTTTTTCTTACTGGTGTGGCTACAGTCACTGTTTTTGTTTTGTCGATTGTTTTCAGTTGTTTGTTTTGTGTTCTTGAAACTTTGTACAAAAATCAACAACGGTTAAGAATAGGTATGGTATACTTTGTTATCTAGCATAAATATCAGATTGTTCGGAAGCATGAGATTGTAATGTAAATTTCGTTCATTAATGTTGTAAGATGGCCCTTTCTCCGGGGCCTTCAGAGTCCCACTGGCATGTTGACTATGTCCCGGCCCATTTACTTACTTGTTGTCAGGTGTCTGAGTGGGCTATACAAAATACGACCAAGTAAACGTCAGAATAGTAAAAAAACAGAAACGTAAAAATCAGTTGCCCATGCCAAGAGAGCCACAGAACCAAAACAATATGTCAGCCGTCTAGACGTCGTCCACAGCAGCAATATGATTTTACACATCGAAATTGAGAATCGCAGGTGTAGACATATTGCATAGAAATGAACACTAAATACATCTATCCCGGCCAGCAATCGAATCATCAATCTTCATGAGTGACGTAACTGGCATTTCCATCTATTTGCTTCTATTCCCACTATCCTAAAACGCTCAGTGAATGTTGTCAAATTCGCGAGTGTGCGTATTTTCGTACAGTGGCGTAAACATTAATTGCTACAATCAAAGATGCGCTGAACAGAAAGTCAATTCTGGGCTAGTACCATTGTCAAATTCTGGGGAGTAGAGGACTATTTATATGGGAGACGTTACAATAAGGAACTATTGAAATTGTTTGATTTGCATATCAAAATCCTTTATTGGAACAGAGCATGTTCTATATTGTCCAAAAAACAAAGTTGCTATGTTTCTAGACACACAACAGACTCGAAACAATAGAAACCTGCGTTCTTGAGTCTTATCGCCCTTGTGTTTCCGAGCAAAAAAACATTGAGGCCAAAAACGACCGATTTTTGACCAATCTTCTATGAGTTTTTCATAATTTAGCTAATTCAGCCCAGCGGTTAGCTAGGGTATTTATTAGAGACGCCCGGAGAACCAAAATTTGGGACGTGAATCGCTCCAGTGACGAAAAATCATCGAAAATAGCCAAGGCGGTGATGAACTGCATTTCAAAAACATATTTTATATATAGGGTATATAACTACCTATTTAATTTAATTAAGGGCCCTTTAAATACAAGTATTTAATATTGATCACTGAATGCACCACATCAATATTACCTGTTCCACTGCGGCCAAGTAATAATATGGCGGACGGCGGTTTGGGATCAAGGTGAATAATTGCATGTTCAAGTTCAGTAACACGGAATGGAAAGTCGACTTTGGTGTCTTTATTTAGCAGTATGTTGTTCACTAAGGTTGAGGTGAATGAATAGAATTTCATGATATGGTATTCGGTCTCGTTGGAGCTAGCTGGTGGAAAAAATAGTTTGGGTATCTCCTCCTGCTGCAGTGGTTTCTTTCTCTCAATTACAAGATCTTGGTCTTCAGTGGCTTCTCTAAAGAACATTGGTACCCTCTCATCAGTCGTTCCACGTCCTGCAGAAATTTTGTAAATATTAAATGTGACAAAAACAACAAATCGCCTAGTATGTTAGCAGTCTCTACAACATATGGTCTACGGCTTGGGCAATATGAAACAAACAACTAAAAATGGTGCATACAATTGTTAAGAACTAACCAATCATTGACAGATGACGTTAAACGATTGTCAGCCAACTGGAAACAAATGCATGTCAATTATATATTTTACTTATTGAATATGATTGGCATGTCAGAGATATGACTTTGCAACAATATTGCCACCAGCCATCCATGTTGAATTTGATTTGAAATTCACATCACTGTCTTATTATGTTCAGTGCACGACCGAGATCCGGTTTCAAAATGGTAGAATTGTTTAAACTTTAAAATGGCTGCCATTTTAAATTGAATTGTGTGAAGAAAATGCAATGATATGATTATGTGTGAAGTTTGAAAGTGATCGGTACAGGCATGCTTGGGATAAAGGTGAAACTTTGTCAAAACATGGTGTAATAAAATAGATGATATTTTATGATATACTCATAAATACTATGTGATCCGAAACTAACAATTAGACCATTTACATACTGATATACGTACTTATATACAATGTGTACAAGTGAACAATTAATCAAATTGTGGGTGAATTAGTTTTACAATAATTGAACTTGACTATTCATCCAAAGTGTATTTATTTATTGCCATTTGTCTTACCTTCTCGGTTCATGAGAAAAAGTTTATTTCATATTAAATAGAAAATATATTGACTGACATTGCAGACTTAACTTTTTCACCACCAGACTTCCTCACCAAAATTTTTCTGCATATTTTCTTATATTCTTTAATATTTCTGGAAATGAACCCTAATTTTGTAGCCAATAGACTAAATTTGAGTCAATTTTCAGTTTTTACTGATTTGGCTATTTTTGTCCCAATTTTTTGAAAGAAAGTGCAGAAAAAAGGACCTGGCAGTGAAAATGTTAAACTGCCCACAGACACAACAATGCCTTGGATGCAGACCTCTATGAACAGCATGATCATTGACAATACCTTTTTGAAATTCCTTTCTATCAATACCCTTCAGATTCTTCTTTATAATACAAGTCTGCCCTCTGTTATGAGATTTGATAATGTTTTCAATACTTCGTGGAACATTATCATGATCGAACACAATGTCCCACACTCTGATGACCTCCGAATAGATGCGACCACCGACAGCTCCCGATTTATCACCACTGACTTCAGAGTCTGAGTACAAAAAACACAAAACAGTGCCATTCACAATTATTCTTCAAAAATCATCACTAAAACTCTGAAATATTTGCAGTTGTTTCCCAACACAACAAGCTAACTAAACAGAATCCCGGAAATACAGGGGTATAATATTTGCAATTGTTTTCATAATAAAGATTGCCAAAGGTGACAACTTTTAATTTGTTTGTATTAAACAGCATCTTGATTTTAAAATGAAAGTTTATTTGATATTTTCCTCAAATCTGCAGCAGTAAATACTTCATTCTCACACTAAAATACAACTTTGAGTCCCAATATAAAAATGTTTCTTATAAATTTCTTAACCAAATTCAATGCACAAATGCTTTTTTTTATTTCTATATTTGAATTGCCATTGAAATAATGCTTTTATTTTGATTTTTCATGAAAATTGAATTTTTCTTTCATTTTTACAATTTTAAAAATTCTAATAAAAACAGTGTATTTAGGATTCTATGTGTACATCTCAAAAATTGCTCCTCTAATGCAAAGTATCCAAATTCAGATTGAAGCCACCTTGGATTTAGATATAACCCAATTATGCTGTAGAGTCGTTCATATACTTACTCCCCATCTGTAGGCGTTTCTCTGGACCTTCACTGCATCTCGGCGAGAATGCGATCGCTAGTTCCCAGAGGATCCTGGCTGCTTTGTTCAATCGAGCTTCAAACAACTTGACATCATGCTGTTTAGAAATGCCTTCCATTCTCTTGCATAGATCAGAGCTCCACATTCCATTAGCAAGAAGACGTATCTTATCTACTATGTGTACCTTCGTGTGTTGCTCCAGACGTTTGTTTCGGAGTATTTTCCAGACAGCCGAGGTACATTCTACTTCCCAAACCAAGTCATCAAATATCGAAGCATCAAACTCGCCCTCTTCATCAGCATCATCTTTATCTTCTGCTTCCTCTTCTTTATCAACAATCATCTGATTTACAATTTTGGTTTCTATAACAACAACATTTCAGAAGGCACACACATTATATATATCTTGAAGTGTAATAAGAAAATTCAATTTGTGGTTGTGACAAAACTATGTCCCTTAAAACTGTCCCATAATACTAAGTATATATTTCAAATTTGAATGAAATTGATCACTGCAATGCCTATACATTTCATCAAAGCATTTTTTCCTTGACACATTTATACGTTTATATCATCAGTAAAAATGACTGAAGTTACGTTTAGTTGAAATCGTTGCTGGTACGATGTACGTGTTGCGATCTCCGGTAGGGATCACTGGAGATTTAAGCTGATGTATACACCAGAATGTTGTGCTTTATTACAACATGTTTTTTTTTAAATCACAATAATGATTCCTGTGTAATGTTTTGCATAAAAAATTAGCGCATGAATTAAAAAGATAACAGTTTTTTTTTTTTGAACACTGTAAATTAATAGTCTAGAATACATTTTCATAATTAGTTTTCATAAAATGAATCAGGTGAATGAATTTAGATACCTTAACTTTTCATCTACAGAATAAAGAAAAAGGTAAGAAGTGCCAAAACATCGCCAAAAATGTTTTTGCTCCAGTGATCTTCCAAAATATACCGGTAACCCATTATTCAAAACATTGCCAAGATACTTTGTGAATACGGTAATATACACAAATTCACTTTCAATCTTTTGAATGCTATTTTTCCACCAAAGTTTTAGTGAACATCATTTCACAACTTTTCATGTATTTCTGAAATTGAACCAAATTTGGTTGAAAGGTGACAAAAGTTGACAGATAAAATTACTAATGAGACATAGGCAGTGTTTATGAAGCTTACCTTTATCTGCTTTCAGTTCAGGCACATAACCAGGACCAGTCATGTCGTGTAATACCACTGTTGGTGTTTTTCTCTTGATTTTAATTTCAGTTTTGATCGATGGTATCACATCTTGAGAATCCAATTTAGGTCTTTTCGGAACAAATTCTGGCATCTCATCAATCAAGACAGTGATTCGCTTAATGATTTCCTCCCGGAGAGCCATCCCAAGAACTGATGGTTTTTGGAGTTGTGCTCCTTTTTTAGCGTCTCGAATTTCTGATAGAAATTTAGAATCTATAGATGCTCCACTTTGAAGGACTTTGATTCTCTCATCTTCTTTCAACTTCTTTTTGGAACGAGTGACTGGATGGTGAGATGCAGCTACCTTCAAGTATGGTAACCTGCGATCATTCTTCTTCAAGCTGTTTAGTGGTATGCTTCCCTGCTTATTTCTAATTTGTGGATCCACTTTATTCTCAGCTAGCAGTTTGACAGCGGCCATGATAGCGGCGTTGGGCGGTCCGTGAATGACAAGATGAAAAAGTGTGTTGCCCTCTGCATCCTGGACGCATGGGTGAAGGTAGGGATACTTCCGCGGGTCAGATTGGTAAAGTTGAAATAGATATTTTAATACAGTGAAATCATCTGTGGAAAAAAAAAATAATTATCATTAACACATCACTATCCGATGCTGCTATATACAAATTATAATGCATGTGCATCAAGGTCTTATAATGTCTAATGTATATACCAAGTTTGAACAAAATCCATCTGTAAACAGCCGAGAAATGCTTGATTTTGATAATTGTTAGCACAAAAATGGCCGCCATTCAGCCATCTTGAATCAGATCGTGAAACAAATTGACGTGCATGTGCATAATATCATGTATGATGTATGCGTGAAGTTTGATTGATTGGTCCAGGCATTTCTAAGATACAGGTTCGGACGAACGCACGCACACACGTTTTCGGACTGCATCTCAATGAATTGTGAGAAAAGAAGTTGCATATTATATTTCAGTGAAACTGTGGGGAAGTTTATTCCACAAGCAAAAGGAAACAGCAATAGGTATAAGAAGGTAGGCATCGATTAAAACACTATGTATAAAAGTATCTCAAAGTCAGCACATGTAGTGAAGAATATCTCACATACATGTATCCCAGGAATGCATTGCTGATTATATTCAAATTACTAAACAGGGATCAGCTTCAATATTCATATATGATGCAACAAGAATTGCCATGCCGGGCGATCAACATCGAAAAAAAAACAAGTTTTTAGAAAAAGTTTTTAGAAATACTACTAATACTTGGATACCTGTGGCAATTGATTGCTTTCAATGGACAACATCAGATCCTTTTTGTCATCAAATTGTGAGGTAAAAATTTGCATGGAAGATATTCTTCGTTTTGTTGCAGGACACGAAATTTCGCTATTGCATGTTTTTTTATAGTCAGAAGAAATTCATTTATATGTGATTCCATAATTAAATAATTATAATTATTCAAACTCTGTGCTTTTATTTATTGTCCTAATTTATTGTTACAACTTGTGCCTACCTTTCCTCTTCAATGACAGCATTAATGCTGCATGCAAAGGAGTGTCTCCGTTATCCAAACTCAGAGATGTAGGCATGGCATCGTATTGAAGTAAAAGAAGTACCAGTCTAGCGTCTTCTAATATCCTGATTGCATATTCAGCTGCTTTCATTGGTCCGATGCCATCAGGCTTGGCACCATTCTGTTAAAAAAATGAATATTGTAAATTATTCCTCAATAATAATAAAATACTGCATTGTTTCTGCGTGAGAAGATAGACTATACATAGGGTGTTTGCAACAGTGAACATTTTTTATTTCATTACCACTTCACCACCTGAGAACTTCTACAAAAAAACGTTATCAACAGGCGATATATATGTCAGTAAGACAATATTTGGAAAATAACTGTAATAACGACTAAATATTACACCCTATTTCATTCCTTAGCAACAATATTCATACCTTCTTAAAATATGAAATACTGGTATGACTTTTTGTAATAAGTTGAATATACCAAAGATACTGGTGTGGACACATAAAAATGATTCTAAAAATTAGGTCCTTACATCTATTGGTATATCAGAAAAACTTTAGGAAGAATTTTATGTGCTGATAATACTGGAGACATATTAAAAATTAATTTGTCAAAATTTAAGATTAGCCTTTTAAACAATAAGCTTGGCAACTAATAATTGTCTGCTATGTGAGATGCACATCGTGAGATACAAATTAAAAATAAGTTTTATTTTATTTGTGATTTGCAGTCTAATTTATTCCAGAGCACCTCCACGAAATTCAATTTAAATCTGATTTTTTGAGATTGGCTAATAATAATAATCAATATATAATCAAAATTCATGGTTTTTTAACATTAAACTAATCTTGTCAGTGGATTATCCCAGAGCATCTATGTACCAAATTTCAATGAAAATGTGATGATTATTCATATTATACAAATTTGGCAATTAGTATGACTGATTTTTAATTCAACCCAACTATTATCAGGTCTTTAGCATTGTTTCCATATGGCAAGTCTTATTGAAACACAATAATTAGTTTTTGATATATAAGTAGAACAAATTTGTAATTATTATGCAAATTAAGTAATTATTATGCATAGATTTCAACCCCAAACTAATAATGTTGAGATACAGATGGAACACACACACATACAGGCATACATACAGACAGGGTAACCACAAAACTGTTCTTTTTTTTCTTTTTTTTTACTCACATCTAGCAACAAGCAAACGATGTCATATTTCGTGATAGTTATCTCTGCATAGCCTGAGCTCAAAAAATTGGTTACACACACGTCCGAGAGAGAACATCCTTTCGCCAGACCACCACTTCCGAGTACATGACTGTTACCACCACCATTGATCAGCAGATACAGCTGTCTCCATTTGCCATCACTGACACATCTGGCAATGGTGTCCTTCCAAGTCTGTGGCGGTGCTTTGCAAACCACTTTAGATGAAATCTCTGTAAATTAACACAATACAGTAAAAACCTATATATTTAGTGACCACCTCTATATAAAAACCTTCTGCCTATAGTGATAGAGACTACCTGTTTTATTTGATCACTCTTTCAGCAATATTTTTGCAGATTAAGCTTCAACAAGTCATTGAAAATGACACAGTCCCCGTTAAATTTTTGAAAGCTCTCTTTGTGCTTGTCATATTAAAGCGGAGGGGTTGTCGCGAGTGTGTCCTTGAAACTTGCGTTCCAAGTGGCGTATACAACAGATTGTTTATTTACATCAAAACACGTGTTCCGTGTAGTAGTAATATGGCCGAAAATAAAAACAGCCGTTATTCGGCCATCTTTGATCTGATTATGAAACACACTGATATGTATGATGCATGTGCCAAATTTGAATGAAAATGGTACATAAATTGTGGAAATATAGCAGTAAGGCCAAAAAGTCAGATGCCTGCCAGTCGACCATCTTTGATTCAATTGCGAAGTAAATCGTCATGAACATGCATCCTAATATGTATAATCTATGTACCAAGTTTGAATGACAACTGACAAAGCATGTCCAAAATACAACATTTTCAAAAAACAAGATGGCTGCCAGTCGGCCATTTTGAATCGAATTGCTAAACCACTGCATGTGCATATGTCTCACATAAAGTACTAGGCACATGCAAAGAATGAACAGAATCGGTCCAAGGAATTCTGAGATATGACTCCGGACGGACGCACGGACGGACGGAGACCGAATTATAATTCCTCGTTTTCGGACTTTGTCCGAACCGGGACTAAAAATCAAAATTAAATAGTAATTAGCATTCTGTATATAAAACAATTTTTAATAAACTTTAAGTCGAAATTTTTGATAAACTCATAATGCCTTTTTAGTATCATCTCATTCTTTTCTGTAAAAAATATTATGTCAAATGTATGAGTTGGTGATCCATAAAAAATTGCCTCTAGATAAACCTGTCTATATTAAAGACCACATGCAGTCTTCAGGTTATGCACCCCTCCCCCAACACTTTCCCTGATGTTTAGGCCTCTTAGTTTATGCTGGGGAGGAAGTACAATAAACCAAACATTTTATGTGAAATTCATTAATATTAAATTATTAAAATATTACTTCTTGCAACTATAGTCAAACCGCTGCAATTTACATATACCCGGGTAGATTAATATTATGCCAGGACAGATTGGTTGGTTAAGGCAAGGACAGATTGGTTGGTTAAGGCAAGGACAGATTGGTTGCTTAAGGCAAGGGCAGATTGGTTGCTTAAGGCAAGGGCAGATTGGTTGGTTAAGGCAAGGGCAGATTGGTTGGTTAAGGCAAGGGCAGATTGGTTGGTTAAGGCAAGGGCAGATTGGTTGGTTAAGGCAAGGGCAGATTGGTTGGTTAAGGCAAGGACAGATTGGTTGGTTAGGGCAAGGGCAGATTGGTAGGTTAAGGCAAGAGCAGATTGGTTGATTAAGGCAAGGGCAGATTGGTTGGTTTAGGCAAGGGCAGATTGGTTGGTTAAGGCAAGGGCAGATTGGTTGATTAAGGCAAGGGCAGATTGGTTGGTTGAGGCAAGGGCAGATTGGTTGGTTAAGGCAAGGGCAGATTGGTTGGTTAAGGCAAGGGCAGATTGGTTGTTTGAGGCAAGGGCAAATTGGTTGGTTAAAGCAAGGACAGATTGGTTGGTTAAGGCAAGGACAGATTGGTTGGTTAAGGCAAGAACAGATTGGTTGGTTAATGCAAGGGCAGATTGGTTGGTTAAGGCAAGGGCAGATTGGTTGGTTAAGGCAAGGGCAGATTGGTTGGTTAGGGCAAGGACAGATTGGCTGGTTAAAGCAAGGGCAGATTGGCTGGTTAAGGCAATGGCAGATTGGTTGGTTAAGGCAAGGGCAGATTGGCTGGTTAAGGTAAGGGCAGATTGCTTGGTTAAGGCAAGGGCAGATTGGTTGGTTAAGGCAAGGGCAGATTGGTTGGTTAAGGCAAGGGCAGATTGGTTGGTTAGGGCAAGGGCAGATTGGTTGGTTAAGGTAAGGGCAGATTGGTTGGTTAAGGCAAGGGCAGATTGGTTGGTTAAGGCAAAGGCAGATTGGTTGGTTAAGGCAAGGGCAAATCGTTTGTTTAAGGCAAGGACAGATTGGTTGGTTAGGGCAAGGGCAGATTAGTTGGTTAAGGCAAGAGCAGATTGGTTGGTTAAGGCAAGGGCAGATTGGTTGGTTAAGGCAAGGGCAGATTGATTGGTTAAGGCAAGGGCAGATTGGTTGGTTAAGGCAAGGACAGATTGGTTGGTTGAGGCAAGGACAGATTGGTTGGTTAAGGCAAGGGCAGATTGGTTGGTTAAGGCAAGGACAGATTGGTTGGTTAAGGCAAGGGCAGATTGGTTGGTTAAGGCAAGGACAGATTGGTTGGTTAAGGCAAGGACAGATTGGTTGGTTAAGGCAAGAACAGATTGGTTGGTTAAGGCAAGGGCAGATTGGTTGGTTAAGGCAAAGAAACATTGGTTGGTAAAGGCAAGGGCAGATTGGTTGGTTAAGGCAAGGGCAGATTGGTTGGTTTAGGCAAGGGCAGATTGGTTGGTTAAGGCAAGGACAGATTGATTAGTTAAGGCTAGGGCAGATTGGTTGGTTGGTTAAGGCAAGGACAGATTGGTTGGTTAAGGCAAGGGCAGATTGGTTGGTTAAGGCAAAGAAACATTAGTTGGTAAATGCAAGGGCAGATTGGTTGGTTAAGGCAAGGGCAGATTGGTTGGTTAAGGCAAGGACAGATTGGTTGGTTAAGGCAAGGGCAGATTGGTTGGTTAAGGCAAGGGCAGATTGGTTGGTTAAGGCAAAAACAGATTGGTTGGTTAAGGCAAGAACAGATTGGTTGGTTAAGGCAAGAGCAGATTGTTTGGTTAAGGCAAGAACAGATTGGTTGGTTAAGGCAAGAACAGATTGGTTGGTTAAGGCAAGAACAGATTGTTTGGTTAAGGCAAGAACAGATTGGTTGGTTAAGGCAAAAGCAGATTGTTTGGTTAAGGCAAGAACAGATTGGTTGGTTAAGACAAGAACAGATTGGTTGGTTAAGGCAAGAGCAGATTGGTTGGTTAAGGCAAGAGCAGATTGTTTGGTTAAGGCAAGAACAGATTGGTTGGTTAAGGCAAGAGCAGATTGTTTGGTTAAGGCAAGAACAGATTGGTTGATTAAGGCAAGAGCAGATTGTTTGGTTAAGGCAAGAGCAGATTGTTTGGTTAAGGCAAGAGCAGATTGTTTGGTTAAGGCAAGAACAGATTGGTTGGTTAAGGCAAGAACAGATTGGTTGGTTAAGGCAAGAACAGATTGGTGGGTTTGGGCTATACATGTCAGATTAGCGGGTTACGGCATAAGTAAGACGAGTGGGTTTGGGCTATACATGTTAGATGAGTGGGTTATGGCAAGAACAATTTAAAAAGAATATTATATAACATTACCATTTACATTATGTAGGATTTGGACTATGTTCATTTGGCTTTGAGCAACAACGTCTTTCTTAGAACGATCCTTATAACTCTCCCCGATATATCTGGCAAACAAACGTAATGACTCAGACCATTCTTCAGTCTTCATATATCGCATGGCTTGTCCTGCAGGATTCAATAAACAAAACCACTATTAACCTTTTCACCACCAGACTTTCTCGCAAAAATTATTCTGCATTTTTTTCTTATATTCTTATATTCAATATTTCTGGAAATGAACCCTAATTTTAGAGCAACAGACAAAACTTGAGTAAATTTTCAGTTTTCAATTTGGTTATTTTTGTCTCAGTCTTCTGAAAGAAATGCAGACTATATTTTGTGAATTTGTGATGAAAAAAGGAAACTGGTGGGATAAAGGTTAATAAATGTTAACACAGGAGTTTAGTCTGTTTAAGAAATTAATTAACTGTAAAAGTTCCTTTTGTACTGTTCAGTCAGTATTGTTAGCGTGTTCACTGTGACATTTGTTAAATTTTAGTACATAAAGTGAAACTGTTGATGCATGAATTAATATCACAAATATTATACATAACTTCTGAGTTTTTAGTGATATAACAACAACTTTGTATGAAAACTGAAATTCTTGATTGCGGCCAAAAACGTGCATGGTATCGATGACAGGTACAGATATACTGATACCCCATTAGTTTTTGTTTAACTTGCCTAGTGTATCAAAAATGATGGGAAAGGTACTGTGGGGAACATGCTTGTCTTTGTTGTTCTACCATTAAAATCAGTTTCTTTGTTATTCAGCCATCTTGAATTAATCAGATCATGAAATAATTGCATGTCCATATGTCTAATACCCCGATCTTCAGTGCAAACAAATTTATCAAAATCAAGCATTTCTGCCATTTTGGAATTGGATATTTTATTCTAGCTATTTCTAAGTCAGAAATAAATGTAATCACCAACAATATCCTGGATTTTTGGTGACCCTTCACATGTCACAAACGATGAATGACATTTCTATCATAGCCGAAACAATTGTACTTGTAATAGAATGGTTTATTTCAATACCTGCTGTGTCCAGTATTTTTCCTTTATAATTATCTGTAATCTCCTTTAGGGTAGAGTAACATGGTGAATGGGGAGTGAGGTGATCCAGAGCACGTTTTCCTTTACAATCCTTGAGGCCGGGATCCACGCCATGATCAAACAATAATTCCATCCAATAATCGTATCTGAGTCTTCCAGTTAAGTCACGTTTGTTTATTACTTGATGATACAGTGTGTCGCCATTGTCATCTTGTACATTGCGTTGACATGATGTCTTAAACCATTTTTTGAATAGTTTCTCTATAAGTTTGGGATGTCCTGAAATTACAATGCGTTTTTTTTTAACTATCTGTCAAGGGTTTATACCTTAAGTGTGCATGAACTATGCGTTGATAGTCGCATCATATATCATGTTGTATTTATTCTCACACTATATAGTCAACTCTAGGTCATACACTAAAATAAATAAGTTTTGTGTTCACCTGACTGCTAATTCTTACAGTGCATGCTCTCATGACAGAATGGGATGGGTGTCAATTTTGGAGTCAATACAAAACTACAAGACTGTACCTCATTGGCTAACCAACCCTCTGATCCAATAGTCTACCCAATCAGAAAGCAGCTTGTTCATTGACAACTGGGTTTGGCGTATCATATACTGCCTTGCGTATTATGCTTCAACTCAACTGCGATTTTGTAACCAGTCATTCTTAAACTTGATTTTTTTTAGAAGTCAAATGCACATCCCTTTCTGTTGTCATGCAATGTACACATCTATACAAACTTGTTGTAAGTAAAATTTTCTTTTAATTGCATGTATAAATGAAAAATCTGTTTTCTATATGTACCTGCAGTGTAAATGTACAATATAAACAGCGAAGCTTGTAGAGTAACATTTAAGGCTGTGCAACTTTGATAGCAATGCAATATACATATGTTATATGATCTGGCAAGTTCCATAAATAGTTTATAATATTCATTGATGTTTATTACAACTAACCTTCGTTCATGCTGTGTTCCAGCCCAATATGCAAAGCAGTTGCACCATTAAATGACTTGACATAAGTAGGGTTCGCACCATGGTTTACCAATGCGATAATTAACCTTGCAACTTGTGCTTGTTGAAGATCAGTGTTGAGGCTGTGAAATAAAGTGACAATGTGACAGTTCATGATTACCGGTAGTACACATAGGATTTTGACCTATAATGGCCAACAGTTGGTTAACTATGCATTTTAGGAACAGAAAACAGTAATTGCAATGAAATTGTACTAAGCATCACCCTGAATGAATGTTTGGTAGCAACCAATTTGCCAGTGTGGATTTACAGGTAAAAAAAATACAAAGCAAGGATCAATGAAGTCAACAGGTACAGCCATGAGTATTATTTGTTGCTCATTTGCATAGTGTTTAGATAAACTACATACATATATGTCACTATAAACATGGAGCTAGAAAGGAGAGAGGACGCTATTGTTTCTGCCTGTTCTATGATAGTTATAGTTTATTTGCTCATTAGATATTGACCACTTATCTTAATCTTATAACGAGATTAACAGGGTTTAATCTTCTGTCGGTTAACTTCGTGGATGTCTGTATACGTTCGGAGACCATATCAACCCGAGTGTGCATGCGTACACACTTGAAAATGGCAAATCGTGGAGAAGGTTGTAATTGTTCGAGGCGACGTTGAAAGTATCAAAGAAGAAGTGCTATTTAATAACGAATCATTTTGTATTTGTGGTGGCGACGAGACTGAGTTTATGATCGCATGCGATGAAAATGACTGCAAAATTGAATGGTACCTTTTTTTACCTCCATGCAATAAACAAAGCACGATTTAAAAAACAACTCAGAAACCAAAATACAGGGATGTGGTCAATTGAACTGCCAACAACTTGCATGCCGGACTATACCATTTAGGTGTGGGGGAGGCGACTATGGGATAGTTAGCATGATGTGATTGATTGACAGGTCAACTAGTTAGCATGATGTGGTTGACTGACAGGTCAATAAGTAACATGTCCAAATACAGTTTAGTGTCCTTTAGAAAAACATGCTTATAACATATACATGTACTTACCTTAGGTCTTTGTTTATTGTTAAATTAGCTAATGAGTGACAACCTGTAGCCAAACCACCGTAACCCTGAACACAGTTTTTACTTCCACCAAGCATAAGTTGATATACTTCCTATAGAGGTGTTTAAAATAAAGTCAGAAAATGAGAGACCAGGATATTGTAGGTTGCATCAGGTTTTTATTACTGTATCCTTACGCATTACTGGAGGAATGTAGTGCCTAATTTTGTTTGCCAATTAATTTTTTAGGGTTGCAATAATTTAATTTTTTTTTGTTGTTGCCTAAAATAGATAGAGGGATAAATGAAGTTGAAATATTTGAAGCAACAAGGTGTTGTAACATGATAGTTTTTTAGACTGAATGGTGTTGGAATTATTGTCTTGTGAGCTTTGGTCAATAAAGTGCACCCTCATTTCAAATTTGTTTATAACTGGCCAATATTACGGACAAAACAACTTTATTGGCTAACCACTTAATTGACTGGTAAATGTAGCTTTCACATCTCTGACTATCATACTAGTGGGTCACTAGAATGTCAGAAACTCTCAGAAACCTGATGTGTCACATTTTTGGCATTTATTTCCTACAATTTGTATGTGCTTCATGGGAGGTTTAAGACAGAAGACCATCAGATGTAATTAACCAAATTTTTTCATATGGAATTTTTTTTACCATAATAACAATGTGAAAAGTATTTTGGTGACTATTCTTTATTTTTTAATATCTCATCAGCTGCTCCAGCACAATTACTTTAATACAATATTTGTTTATGTGAGATATTTGTCTAAGTTAGACAATGTGGGTCTTATGACTGCCACTCAGTTGACCCCAAAGATTAAAAATAATGGTATCACCCACCAAGTGCATGGCTACGGGAGATACTGTGTAATGCAGTATGCAGTAGTACATGTATGTGTAGGTATGGGTTCTTGAGATATACTGCTCATGCAGTAACCATCTTAAATGACTTTAGGGGTTCAAAAGTGACTATCGTTCTTAGCTTGCTTGAATCTGTTTGCTACTACACTGCAGAAACAGGTTGAATGAAAAACAGAATTCATCTGCTTGTATCGCCTTTGCTGTGCAGATAGATCTGTTTTTATCTCTCTTTACTGACGCTGACTAAAATTGTCTGGATATGAAAGGTTACTTGCAAACAAACGTGTACTTATAAAGAGGAACTCTTCTAAAATGCTGAGAATCCTGCTTGGTGTTCTTGGTTGTGAAAATGTTGGGTTGTCGTCCACAGTTGGTGGCAGAAACCCACAATGCAGTGTGTTGTTTCTTGGTGTTATTTTCGGCCAAGGGTGTAGCATTATTGGATATTGTCTACACAAACAACAAACACATACCTGCCATTTGAAGTGCTTTGCAAGATCTAACACCACTTTAGACCAAATTTGTTTATCTATTTTGGGATTTTCCAGTTTAGAGAGGCTCAGTTCTGTATATAAAACATAGCATAACTATTACAACCTTGCCCCTTGGGAATCTGGTCCCATATTAATAAAAATTAAGAATTTAATTACCAGGTGTTAGGGATGATGGATGAAAGTGAACATACAACTGATCAACTAGAAATAACATACTTTTTGTTTTACTAACATTCTCTACCAACAATGCTTATTATTATGTCATGGTTATGGTTTGGTATGAAATATACTAGTATGGAATAATTTTATTGTGAACAAAAGTTTTAGCACACTGTAAAATGACTAATTTTCACTGCGTTTAAATTTTGCTGATTTACCATTTCAGGCATATTCAGTGGGTTTTAAATTCACGGTTTTATCGTTTAGATAATGTGTTCTATGCTAAATTTTACATATTCACTGGGTTTTAATTTTGTGCAATTTCCAGTCAGCGAAATAAGCAAAATTAAAACCCAGTGAATAATTAACCTTTTTACAGTACTTGATCAAAACTGAAAAACCGTTTATTTTCACCTTCAATTTAGTTTCATTATTTTGATGTTTTGAGGAATTTTACTCTGTTTTAAGTTAATGAGAGATAATGAGCTCTATTGTTACAATAAATTTAATTAATAACCAGTGAGTAATTATTAATGTATTAACAGTATTGAGGAGAACAAATACAAGCCATATTTTTGGCGGGAAAAATACTTTTTGGACAAAATGGACAAAACAGTCTCGACCAAAATTTTGAAAAAAATTTGTGGATTTGAAATTTGTGAATGTGACAAACATTGACTTTGTACAATATTAAAACAGGATTCGTTAAAGTCAGAGAAATGGGAGAAGAGAGTTGAAAAATTAAAAACAAAATGGCTATTAATTTATTAAATCTAATCTTGCTATTGTACAAAATCAGAATAAAAACTTATGAAAATGAATATTTTCCAAGACAATAACAGTGTGGAATTACCTTTTGCTGCTGGATGTTCAAACAGTTTAACAAGTTCAAGTACAAAACTAATTCTGGTGTCTAAAGCCCGTGGATCAGTGTTCTTCACAACATTGAATCCATCATCAAAAGCCGATACAGCTTGTTTGTGTTCATTCAAAGCTACTAACGCTTTGGCATATCGCCAATATCCCTGCAAATACAGAAATTATCATAATGATATAACCAATTGATATTATTATTAATTATTATTATAATTATTATGAATCGGAATTAAGGAATATGAAAGCTAATCCCATGGCCCCATGACTGATACAGCTGCATAATGTGAAAGCATCCTGGTCCATACTATTGAAGTTCATAATACTGTGAGAAAAGTACATCTGTAGTTTACAGTCAGTGATTTATGCATGGGAATCTATATACATGCGCAAATTATTTCCTCAGGTATCAGAATTATGCACAATTTATGTAAATTAAGTAGACATTATGCTCAGTTTAACAAACCATCTCTGTTGTGCGGATTACCCCTCGAGCACTTATGTACCAAATTGCATTGAAATATGATAAGTGGTTATTTAGATATCAAAATAAAAAAAAATAAACAAGTTATTGTTAATGACACCCCGTTGCAATTAGGATGAATGTTATTTAAGTCTAATAAAAGGCAACATGGACAAAAAACTAGATGGCTGCAAGTCTGTTGTCTTTTAAATGACACAAATTGAATTCTTATGGACATGTATTCATCGTTACATGCATAATATATGCAATCTAATTGGATATGCAAATCAATAGTCATGTGACAAGGTAAATTGTTTCTAAATGAATTTGTAGCATATGGTCACAGTAACTAAGAGTGGCAAGATGGCTAGCAGTCTAGCAGTCGGCCATATTTCATATCAAACATAAAATGTATGTATCAAATTTGAACAGAAACTGAAAAAGTGTTCCCAGGATAACAAATTTTCAAAAAAAACAATATGGCTGCCAGTTGGCCATTTTTTATCCAATCATGAAACAAATTGTCATGAACATGTATCCTGAAATATATAATGTATGTTTCAAATTTAAAAAAAATTGAAAAAGCATGTCCATGATAACACATTTTCAAAAAAAAAAAAGATGTTACCTTCGACCATTCAGGATTACGTCGTAAACAATTTTTCCCATCCTTCAACGCTTCCTGATACCGTCCCAGCTTCAATTGAACACATGAACGATTACTAAGAATATGAGATATCTCATGATCACTGTCAGGTAGTCCCTTCCCACTCTCCAGGGCTTTTGTGTAGTTTTGATATGCAAGCATGTAATTGCCAGCATTCATGTTCTTATTTCCTAATTTCTTGAATTCAGCTTGCGATTTCAATTTGTAACTTATCGTAAACTGATCTGTGAAGAGACAAGATTAATGCTTGTTTTTTCTTCTAATAATGTGTTGACTATGAAGACAATACATGTGTGTGAGTGATAATTTATTTGTGTTGACACAGAATTAAATGACATATAGTTTAGTTTGACCTCAATCACACCAGATCCTTCGCTAGCAAGCAGCCTGACATCTGATATGTCCTGAAACATGACATGCGAAAAAAGTGACAGTGAAATTATAGAAGGAAGTTTACCTGTTACAAGTGGCGGCTCTAAATTATTAATCTCATCGTCATAACTTTCTGCATACTCCTCAAGTAACTCAATAAGCCCGGAAGGTGGGTCAATGCAGTCTGAGGCCCGTTTTCCTTCGTTATTCTTAATGCAAGGATTGACGCCCCATCCTTTCAGGAAATGATACATTTTATCCTGCAATCTAACACTCACTTCCCTGTTCTTAGTAAGAATATGGAACACTGTGTCGCCATGGTCATTTTGTATACTTCGTTGAGCTGGTGATCTGTACCATTTTGTGAATAAGAACTCCAAATAGTCTTCGCTTGCTGGAAATAAAAAATAAATGGATACTTAGTTTAAATTATTACATCTCTAAATGATAGTTTTCTTGTCATGTATTAATCAACAGCGAGCAAAGACACGCCTAAATTTGACAGAAACTTCAAAACAGCTGAAGGGAACATTCAAATCATCATGTTTTTCTTTTGTACTGAATTTACACAAAATTTGTGAAAGTGTATCAGTCATTCATGAAAGAAATTAATATCAGTCTAACTTCAAGGTTTTAACAATTAATAATAATGATAATTGTTCCGTGAGCTTATAAATACATTACTAGTATATGATTTATCAGTTTAGGTAGAAAAAGTTTTCATTTCTTTCTATTTCAAATTTTCAAATCTTCTTTATAATGTTATCATTATTAGTACTCATCAAGTATACATCTTATGGAGTTTGCTTTTTCCATGGAAATGTGTCTGACAGAACATTGCTGTTGATCAAATTGAAATTTTGGACATATACTCGGTATCATAAAAACATTAACTTCCTCTTTGTTTTCCATTCAAAGATTACAATTTCTATTCTCTACTGTAATTTCTTAGCTGAACGTCTATCTCTTTTTCAAAGGTCAAATTGTGGTTATGTGTTGTCAATTTCAAAAAGCTAAATTTTATGTTATTTAAAATTTTGCATACATGTAGGTACTCAGTTTTGTTTTTCATTTGCTACACCTTGCCTCGAGAAATGTATAATTAAACTTTGTTTACAGACATCAAAGTTTGGATTGAATTAAGTATAATTATTAAAATTAGTATGAACATTATAAAACAAACCGTTATTTAAGCAATATTCCATGCCGTCATGCAGTGGAGTGTTACCATGCAGCGTTCTCACACGGGTTGGATCTGCCCCATGTTGTATCAAGACAACCATCAAAATCACACGCTTGTCACCAAGACTTGCATTTCGACTGCAGGTAAAAGGTAACAAAATCAAATGTCATTATTACAATTGATACAAATCAGTTGTGACAATCAACTGCTGTGAGTTTTCCAGAATTTTAAAATTGGATTATTTGAAATATTTTGTTTGTAGTGTTTGATGTATGAAGGAAGTAGTATGTGAAGTAGTATATACAAAACGCAACAATAACAGTATTTGCAAGATATTTGATTTGGCTAAGCAGTCCAAAATTACCAAGTACAAGTACCTATATATGGGTATTTAGAACACTATCAGCACTTGTATACATAATTTAGCAACTGACGTTTTTAATGCATCCTTCTAAAGTATTCCCTGTCCTGTTCCTCCAGGCTCCTTTTTCTAAGCTAACCACCGTCCCTCAAATGTGTTGAGGGACGGTGAGCTAACTAACCAAATATATATTACAACTGCATGTAAGTGAACTTCGAACACAGGATATTTAATGCATATTAGGTTATGTTTTCTACCGAAATAGGTGGGGGTTGGTGGTGAGTGATGTGCTGGATGGTGGTGTTGATTTAAGACAGCATTAACATGCTCGAAAATGCCAATTCCTCTATCAAAGCAATCTAAAGAAATAGTTATACATGTATACTAGTAGGTGGAAAAAACATGCAGCTATTGTCTCAGAATAGACAGAATTGTATATGTATGTGATGGCACAACATACAAACCTCAAACTATTGCTTAGTACAACATCTTGAGTATCACAATTGTTTGTAGCCACACCAGCGAACCCAGGCTTTTCTGTTTTATTTCCGCCAAGCATAAGGTGATACACTGCCTGTAAATGAGTTGAATTATGGGATTATTAAATGTGTTGTGTTGCGTTAACATATGCGTGGCATAAACATTCAATAAACACAACGCAAAAATGTTTAAAATTGTTACTCTAAATTTGTCATTAAATATAATTTATATTTTTCATTAAAAGTACATTTTCCATCCCTTTTTTTTTCTCACAATTCTGACAATAAACTGCATGACAGCATCTATGATTGGTTGCTTAGAATAACATTTATACATATCAATGACTAGAAATTACTTTAAACTGGTTGCTATGGGCATGGTCATGGTAACAAGCCCGCATACTGTTACCGCCAGGCATGCATAGCAAACAAGTCAGCAACTTAAAGCTGGCAATGTCACTGTTTTGGTGTTTGAAACAATATGGCAGTGACAGTAATGCTGTCACATGACCATACTGACACAGCTTCTCTTCTCTAGCCAATGGTTATGAACTGCCATTGACATATTCAAATACCATATATCAATATACATGTGTTATCCATTCAGAACAGGGCCCTTCCCCTTCCCATGATGCATTGGAAAATAACAAAACTACATTATAATCAAATTATAATCAAGTACCACAGTGACTTACCATGTGGGACATTCTGACTGAAATCAACCTGTATATTTCAACAGTCGTGTGATCAATATGCAAATTAATAATTCAAATGAATTTCATTTGGATGAAATTTTATATGACCCCTTAACACATCTACTGCTGAATTCCTCTAGGGATAGTAGTTACAGATTGCAGATATCTTTGGACAAAAAAAGTTCCACATAATTTATTTAATATTTTGTGATCAAGCAGTCGCCAGAAGATTCTGACAATGCCTTGCAAAAAAAAAAATGTTTCAGGTCAAATCTTTTTTTAAATATGGCGTTCTGAGGAACTTTTTTGGAGGGGCTAAAAACATTTGATGGGCACAAAATTTGCAGGTTTCATTGGTGGTGAAATAAGTAGGGAAAAATGATCAACCAACATACTGACCAGAAACATAACTTTTTTAAGGCCTAATAAATAATGACATTTTGAACTTACAAGCCAGTCCGAGTTTTCTGAAAATTCCAGCACCAATTTGGTCCAAACTTGTTTATCCACGCTAGCGTTTATCAATTGCTCGTGAGCCATTTCTGTTGATAAGAATATTACATTAGTCACTGTAAATGACACACAATGCAGTTTCACCTCGTATTTTTCAGAATTAACACAAAATAATATTATAACAAATATTTTTAGGGCATGTCTGAAAATGGCCATTTTGAATCAAGAACAGAAGATTATGGGTGAATTTTGGAATCATAAATGTAAACGAAAAAGAAGAAGTGAAAGCTGACATTTGTTTAATGAGGACTAAAAAATTCCATCACTTTGTCGTTACCTTGTGATTTGGGATATTGTAGTAGTTGAACAATTTCAACCAGGAATTTGACTCTTGTTGCCTCAGCGTTTGAATCATTGTCTCCCACGCACTGTAATCCGTATCCAAAGGCACTAGCTGCTTCTTGAAATTTATGCAAAACTTTATATGCTGACGCAATTCGCCAATGTCCCTGTAAAAAAACAGGTGAAGTAGGTGATGTTAAAAACATATTCAGATTTTTGTATTCGTAAATATTCAGCTACAATACTGTACACAATCATGTTATAGATTACATTACTATGTGAGAGAACCCCATGATCTCACCCTGACAATTGTAGGGTATGCAAGTTAATGTGCTGCATAGCCATATTTTCAAGTTTCCTCTGCACAATACTCAAGCACATAGCAAAAACTGATGACCTTTAGCGTGCATATTGCCACATTTAATGTGAAATATACAAAACTACTGTGAAACTTACATGGTCATATAGTAATTTAACCACTACAGTCGCATTCTGCATACACTTACTGTGGAAAATGCAAATCAACATACTAGTATATTTGTACCAGTATATGCAGGCACTACACTCAAAGAGGTTTGGTAGAAAAACATGATGAAATAGGCAATGCAAGCACTATAATAAAATGCACAACATATTTTGGCTGGTTAAATTTAATTGCCACTGAATTCTTGAATACATGTATAAAATTGAAAAGAATGGGTTTGTTGTGTCACAATCCTATACAACATATTGTGAGCTTGCAGGTATCAATTGGACAGCTTGACCTCATGACCTCAAAGCGATAAAAGTTTAGAGCATATAGCAAGCATTTGGCAGTATAGATGGAAGATGGATTTTTGGATTTGGGATGTCAGATAAATAAAAAGATGAACGGTTCTTTTGTATGTATATAAGTTTATTCTGTGCTGAACTGAAATGGAGTTCTTCAAGGATGGGTATAATTTGATCATGTTTCCATCAGCAATGTTTAAGCCAAATTGTTAATACGTCAAATTATTCTTACTTTCAAATAAATAAAAATATGGAGTCACCAGCCAAAATAAAGAAACTGAGAGAGTCCAAATAAATGCCAGTATACTGTGATTTTTTGCACATTGGTTTCTAGGTAATACATTTTTCATCATACCATGGCTGGTACTTGCATATGTAGACTAAAAGCATAATATATTATCATTAATATGGTAGATATTGTTACAGCAAATTTGGAAATAAATGAAATATCATTTACAATGTTTTAAATAAGATGGTATTTTTCCCTTATATGCAATAGAATTCTTCTACATCAGCCACAACCTATATGCACGGTGGATGCCCAGATTCAAATGGTACAAACTTTCCTAAAGTCTCAGTACATATACAGCTGCATCTCAATTCCACACATAAACAACCCTAATACTGCTTATTCTTATCTCAAAAAGTCCATTACTACATGTCTGCCCTTAATACTTTGATTTTATACATAAAAGTGACAGTTTTTACCTTCCACCACATTGGACCATATCGTAAGGAATGTTCAGCATCTTCTAGTGCTTCTTCTGGACGTCCCAATCGCATACAGCAATTTGATCGATTTGAGAGTAGAGCAGCCATATCTTGTTTATTGTCAGGCGTTCCGTTTCCGGCGAGAAGTCCTCGAGTGTAGTTTTGTATAGCAGTAGCGTAATCTCCCCTATTGAAAGCTTGATTACCTATATGCTTGTAGTAATGCATTTGCTTGACCTTCGTGTCCACTGTAAAAATAGAAATAGTCTTGCTTTTTATTGTCAATATTTTGCAAATGTTTTTGGATTTGCTGCAACACTTTTGCTTTTCAAGCAGCCGATTCAATACAAAATCAAGTTCTAAAAAATTAAACCAAAAATCTGACAGGTTCATTCATTAATTTTTTCTATGAATGAAATGCCATTTGCATCACTTAATATTTAGAACAAAGATTCTTTGAAAAATGGTAACATTTTTTAATTTAAATATTCTACCCACAAAATGATTTTGTTCATTAAACTCTTTGATATGTTATATTGGTGAAAAAAATGGCCATCACTTGTACATTGTATGTATCTCAGGTTTTATGATGTATAAGTTCAGTAATAATATTAGGGATATGGCTTTTGAACAGCAATCTTAAACAAAATGTCTGCTCATACATTGTCACGTGAGAATCAGTGTTGAAATTAGATTGGTATACAGGTGCATGTTGTGAATGCAGAAACAGGTGTATGTTATATTTAATTTATTCAAAATTCCTTTGTTGTGTTTGCGTGTTGTGGTCGGAGGACACGTTACTCTGACTCAAGACGCCGCACTAGCAGGACGGGCTTTCAGTCGTCCGTGTGCAAACTGAGAGACGAGCCAACACGTTTATCACGGGGCGCCTGAGACACGCAAGTCCAGGTATAAGCTGGGGCCAGGTTATTGTAGGAAAATAAATTCCCTTATTTCTGGCGGAAACCATGTAGGGTGTTGTCAAATGAACCCGGTGTTGTTTGAAGACAGCGTTTACAGGAGAAAAACTTGTACAAACTCAGCAAGCTGTGCTCCGGGGGCTCGTCTGCACAGAGTATCATTGACCATTGTGAGTACAACATTCTTGTAACTTTTACATTATTTATATTGTAATTTATGTATTAACTATAGCATTTAAAATGAAGCACGAGTTGTTTATACTTTACACAGGATAATGTACGTACATCTGTGACGAGATTGTACGAACTACTGAGAATAGTATGTAGCCATATTGTATCCTTCTCATCATTGTATACTTTGTTTAATAGTGCCACTTATTGGACCTATGCTCTCGTATGGCGAAGCTTAGAACCGACCGTACTACCAAACTTGAGCTTATTTGAACTAGACATCATCTACCGGAATCGGACAATATTGATGGACTGTAGCCTGTGATATCATGTACCGGAATCAGCTAAGTTCGATCGTCATCGTATCCTAAACCTGTGCGCAGCCACTGTCATTCTTGAAATCAAGATAGTTGGGACATTTATACATTATTTAAAGTTTATTTTGTTCACGTACAAACTGATTTAAATATTAAGAGTACTGTATGCTTTCTTTAAATTTATAATCTATGCTTAATTAATATAAATATTATAATTATTCTCACTTGACGCTGTAGGCGATTATTGTAAGATATATTTCCGATGGTGACGAATATAACAAAATATATACTACCATACGTCTTGTACATGAACTGTAATGTGGGAACGATAGCTAGACCAAACATTGCCAAATTGTTTCCGGCCCGTGCCAGTGACATACATACATGTCCAAGATCTGGTTGTGACACAAATAAAACAATTCTGGCTATCAATTGACTATCTTGAATCCGATCACAAAACAAATTCACAGGCACATGTTCCCTGATATGTATGATGTATGTGAGAAGTTTCAATGCGATCAGTCTAGACATACCAGAGACATGGCCAATTTTGAATCTGATCTTTAAAAAATGTGACGTTTAATCCAAAATTTAAGTGAAATCGAGAACCAAGAAGACATAAATGTCACAGTTCCCATTATTTAATTATAAAATACTTAAGTTAAAATAATACATGGAACACGTACTGCAAACAATTAAATTAATATGTACTCTATGTGGGTACAACTCAACATAAAGTGATTTCGCTTAATCTAATAACTGAAAATTTTCATTGACCCAGGTGCCAAATCTCAGAGTACACAAGTGCAACCAAACTGTCTCATAAATGCTCAAGAAACTGCATTCATAAATCTGAGTAAACCTTGATATACCTTTAATAACAACTTGACTTTGTATAATTACCAGGCCCTGGGTTTGTTTCATTATCACCACTATAATTCCCATCAAAATGTAGCCCTAACACCCCTCAAAGTTTTTCACTGAGATTGGTAATGGTACGACCCATCTGTCTCTGATTCAGATCAAGGTCATGACCAGGTCATGACATCACTAAAAACAATAGCATTACAATCTAAGCTAATTATTTATTCTGAGCATGCTCAGTTGCTCTTTCAGTGGAGTAGGGAGAGGTAATTTTGGATGAAAATCTTGAAAAAGACCAACTTAAGATTTTCAGACCTGGAAAAAAAATTATGTGAATATGTAACATGCCAAGTTTCATTGACATTTGCTGCACAGTCCCTGAGAAAATGTGAGAGATAACTTGCAGCAAAGAAGAAAGTGCAGCAGAAAGAAAGTAATTCTAGTTCTCCCCTTTTTAGGCTTCGCCTGAACAGGGACTAAAAAAAAGTCTGGGTCAGCAGCCTATTTATTTAAGAAATAGATTTTTATATTTCAGTGAATAGCAGGTGCATCACTTTTACCCTTAATTTTAGTGACATCAGGGTAAGGGTACTTTTTATTATCCTGATTTATTTTAAATATCTGGATTTTAACTAATGAATGCAAGTTTTCAATAGTTCTAAAATTAGTGATTTTTATGAACAAAATTGTTCTTAAAAGTGAGAATGCAATAACTCCATGATTGTACAATATAATATACCAAAGAACATTGTCATGCAAAATATCAGAAATTTCTCTAACTTTGAAAGACAATAGTTACTTTATCTTATCAGATATGCAAATTTAACCAAACATCGCCGATGTCAACAGTCAAACGATAAAAATATACTCTGATCACTGTACAAAGGGAATTCCCCCGACATCAGGTGATTTAAAAATGTTTTTTATTGTGTTCAACAACAACAAATCAACAACTAAGATTTTTCACAACTCATTAAATGCAGTCTTTTATTAGTTTTGTTGCAATAATGGCAAGGAAATAAAGCTAACTGTATATTATCTGAAGGCCTCCAAAGATCACTAAACAGTCTACAACTATTTTGCGGAAGATGAAAGCTCTGTGTTAATATTGAAAACACTAGTCTAATATTGAACGAGAACGTCAACATACAGTGTACCATGTGACAAATGAACATGTAAATTACGTGATTTAAAGGAAGTTTGTGATGAAACATACTACAATATACATCATGAAGTGCAGACAAACGGATATCCCTAAATATAGGAAATAATTCTTTAGAAAAGTAAGTTTTCCAGATTATTATTATTATTGTAGACCATACTGCTGTACCATTAGGACATTTTTCGCAAATTTCCCAAACTTTAAAGAATGATCGCTTTATCCTATCAGATATGCAAATTTATTCAAATATGGTATGTACTATGAATGACTGCAAGCGTCAAACAGTAAAAATACCCTCTGCCCTCTGATCATTGGCCAGTTTAAATACTGTACGAAGGGAATTCCCCCTGAATCAGGTGACCTCAAAATGATTAAAAATGTTGATATTGACATAAAAAAACAACAACCAACGACTGACCAAGATGACTATTCTTATTATTGTATCTGCATTACTGGAAAAATTTATTATGAAAAATGTTGATATTTTCTTGTAGTGTAGGGACCATTTACTGCTATGTGTAATCATTCAGTGTCATTTCAATAAATACTATAGCTGTACCAGTATAATTTCAGGTTGCTAGTTAAATATTAAAATACATGTATAATGAATTATGTCCTTGACATGGATCTTGGTACTAGAAGTCACAACTAAATGAGAAACAATTTTGAAAAAAGAAATATTTTAAAACCACTCAAATGTATAATAATAAAGAGCCTTAAGATTACTGTACATCATTATAGGGGCATCATTTTTCAAGTTTAAACGTGTATGTATAGATTGTTTCTGATAGAAGTTACTGATAACCTGAATATACTCGTATACCAGTACATGCAACATCAAAGCTAAAATTAAATCTAGTGAATAATTAACCTGGCTATAATTACAGTAAAATATACATGGATCATATTACTTGTCTGTTAATGTATCATTACCCTGGGTATGGTCTCTTTTCAGCTCCATGTCCACGGGAATATTGTACATATATCAATGGATTAATAGATTCAGTTGACAATTAATTATCAGACTAAGACATTACCAAATGATTAGACTAAGAATTGCCGGTACAGTCTGACTTATTTGTTAACGTTTTAAAATGCATGCGTAATTTATGTTCGGATTAACGGTAAAAAGTTTAATAGGGATATCCACTTACTACTCAGTGTTACCATTTTGCCATTGTGTTGGAACACCTGGGCGACGTATACTTCATCTGTACATTGCGGTGTCCACCCAGGGATCCCTTGACCATCCCACTCCTCTAACCCAGGATCCACCATCACTTTGGAGTCTCCCAGATCAAACAGGCAGTTTGCCCCTTGTATCACTTCCTGCACCGTCTTTCCTTCAAGCGATTCCATGTTGTAGGCTTGTAGGTGAATTAACAAGTATGTCACCTGTCTCAAGTTAGTGCGTTGACTACACAGGAATAGTCAGTTTAGAGAGCATTTTCCAACACAGTCGTTAGGATTTGCTTTTAAACAATATGTGACCCAATACTCCCAGACGGTGACAAAGCTTCTATTTTGGAAAGGGGATTTCCAGTTGGCATTGGTCATTTCGATTTGGAGTGGGGGGGGGTGCAGCTAATCACAGATGTCTGACACTCCGGTCAATTTAGCCGCTTCGTTTATTATGGAGTTTTCGATGCAAGATTTTACAACCATTGTGGTAATTTTAGTATTACCTCTACAAAATACGATGTTAAAGTATAACTTCTGGCTGTAAAAGACAATGCAAACAATTACTCCACCCCCTCACATTGAAATCAGCCAGGACACCTTGTTACTGTATTGGAATAAGTAGTTTACTTTATGATCGCTGTTAAAGATTGGTTATCTCGAGTCCTGCATATTTTAGCCTTCGGAGATTATGGAAAAGTACTGCCAAACTTCCAACTTGGTGGAAAAAAATCAGTTTACGTAATCATTATACACGAATATTTATGTTACAGAACTCGTACACTGTGAGGAGGAAGTGAAAAGCGTTTCTGCGAACTGTCGTGTCAAATCATAGACCCTCTATGGTCAAATACTCAAAAAACAAACAAACAACAACAACACATAGGTGGCGCTCATTTCATTTCATCTCGCTAAATCTCGTGGTATTCCCACACACCGAACGTGACGTCATTCCAATATGGCAGAGTCTGGCAATGCTGATATTTCGGGCTTGTCGAAAAACATACCAGGTTTGACCGAGGCCGAAAGAGCGCACCTGAAAGACGTCATGAAGAGAGCAAAGGTAGAGTATAGCTGAGCATGCAAGTTCCCGCTTTTAAAATGACATAAATTATTCTGTGATTAGTTATTATGCAACTTGATTGAACCAATGCCAATCAATGAAGTCGATCTAACGTTCGTGATCGATAAATAGTAAACAATTGTACACACAATACAATCGTAATGAAATGGGACAACTTCTGCATTTGGTTTGAACATCATTGAGATGTATGGGACACGTGTATTTAGTAAATACCGGAAGCAGCGATCAATATGAAACATTATTTTGCATACACCAGTAAAACCCTGCCCATATTAAATAAATACATATGAATATATCTGCGTACGTATGACTGTTAACATGTATTACCCCCCCCCCTTCCCCTTAAGTAACATGTTTTGGTCTTTATGTTGCTGTTGTCTCTTTTATACTACGTGCAGTCAGTTCCCAGTAAATGTACAGATACAGTGTGTGACATGTTTCTGTGCACTTGAGAAAAGAAAAAAATTACAGTAATACATGTATATATAATAATACAATTTTTTATGACATATTTAGTAAATTTTGAAAACAAATCTCTGTTTACTGGAAATGCATTAAATATTTACTGCTTTGTATCTTCGCTATTTTCTCCGATAAGTAAAATTTGCTGAATCAAATCGGCAAGAACATGTAAAATAACAATACAACTCGTTGTACCCCTGCCAAGTTTGTGAACCTGAAACCCTGTGAAATTGCCCTAAGCATCAAAATAATGAAATTAAATGTCAAATGAAAATAAATGGTTTTACAGTACTAGATTTACTACTAATTGTGTGATAAAGGTCATATAATCAAAATACTGCATTGGTCTTCATTTTGTTTAATTAAATGGATAAATGAAATGTATTAACAGCATGTGAATGATCATTATTAATTTGTGTTTCAATTTGCAAATTCTGGTTTTAAACATTCTGTTTTCTTCACCTAATGTGAAAATATGGAACACTAACTCATATCAGTTATACACACTGTAGCATAGTTTACCCACAATGCACACCTGACTTAAACATGGTTTCACTGCAGTGTAAATTTTGAATGTATCTTTTTTTTATTTGTTATATTTTGTTAAAATTATTACACAGTACTGTTCTGTGTATTATAATCCATTGGAATCCGCAGATTACTGTCAAATATTGCACACAGCATTTTTGTACAGGCATATCTATTTAAAAGTATAAAACGGACAGGCTTAAATTGGTGAAAATAACTGCTTCCGTATTTTCTCTATTACTGGTAGAAGTGCATACATGTGTATAAACTGAAAATTTCCCATGTTGTATACTGAATCATTAACCTTTTCACCACCAGACTTTCTCGCCAAAATTTGTCTGCACTTTTTTTTTTATATTCTTCAATATTTCTGGAAATGAACCCTAATTTTGGAGCCAACAGACAAAATTTGAGTAAAATTTCTGTTTTTACTCAAAAAAATGGGCTATTTTTGTTCCAATCTTCTGCAGGAAAGTGCAGACTATAAACTGGCTATTTTTGTGATGAAAAGAAGGAACTGGTGGTGATAATTTAAAATATGATATATTTTCTTTACAGAAACACACATGTAATATGTTTACACATTTAGGTGCATCTATGAATACAATAACTGTTACATGTGTCTACTGGAATGTTTTATTGTTGCCCCTGCTAAGAATCATTTTTATGTTTTTGAAAAATATATGTCTTACATGTTGTTTTGTAGTTGTAAAATATAAATAATACTTGTCATGCCGACATGTTTGTTAGGCCAAATCAAAAAAGTTTGGTGATAGGTAGGCAAAATTTTCTTTAATATAACTAAGTGCTAATTATTTGCTACATAATATAAAAAACATGAAATAAATTATACAACATTGGTGGAATGACCATTGCTAATTTGCATAGAAATAAAGTGCATTGAAATAGCTACCCGGTATATGTGTACATGCCATTTTAGTGAGTTTGACTTGATAATTTAATTAATAAACTCGTAATTTAGCTAACAATCTCGTGAGAATATATTTTATTTTAAACAAGTCACTTCGCGATGAGCGTCTTTTGCGGTACAGTAATCCGCTAGGATTGCCCTTAAAATCAATTTTTTGTGTCTGTATGTGTGATTTCCAGTGTTTTCACGTATTAATTCTTCTGTGATTTTTTTGGATTGGCCTATTTCCCTCCAACTTAGCAGGCAGGTCACACCATCACCCTAGTTATTAGGTAAAATCAGGAAAAAAAATTGGCCCACCGTTGCCATAGTAACAGCCAAAAACTGTTTTTTTATAGCTTAGTGCCAAATGTATCTCCTCCTACAAATTTAGGATAAAAATCCTCAGACATAGCTCATTCTACTCAGTTTGAGTGTGGGCACAAAGTTGAATTTTTGATATCTTTTTTTATTGCTGAGAAATTTGACTCTTCTGTGATTTTTTGGTTGGGCCGATTTGGTTCAAACTTGGCAAGTCACACTTTCACTCTAGTTAGGTTGTAAAATCTAAAAACAAATTCTTGCCAGCCGTTTTCATGGCAACAGCCAAAAAAATGATTTTTTTTTGTATACCTTCTCACCTTACAATTCTACTCAGCTTGAGTGTGCATAAATTGACTAGTTGTTTATGTCTATTTTCATTACCGAGAAACTCAAACCAGCGGCTTTTAACTGCTCTGTGTTTTTTTTTTTTTGGGGGGCTTGGCTGATTTTGTTCATACTTGACAGGCAGATCGTACCGTTACCAACTGAAAAAAAAAATCTTGCTCACCGCTGCCATGGCAACAGCCAGAAACTGGAAACTTTCGCCCCAAATTTATTACCTCCTACTAGTCTTGTAATAGCAGTGTATATGATCATGTTTTTTTATATTATTTTGGCTACGTTGCGTTGCACACTGGTAAGAGATCACCGGGACCAACATTGTTACACTGTATCAACGTAATCCCAACGCAACTTTGAACTATGAATGAACTGTAAATGCTGCCTTCAATCTAGAAAATACTATCGCAAAACGGTTGGAAATAGTAAATTTAACAGCAGAATACGTCCTAGAAATACAATAAAGACTAAACGTTTTTTCGCGAACTTCGTATATGGGGCCCGGTTTTAGCTATAAACCGACGTTAGCTTCACGTTTATGTCCTACCATGGCAACAGCCGAAAACATGATGTTGCTTGTTTTTGAGCGAAGCGGATCGCAAACCAGCCTACCGGCTTGTTTTATAAACTGGCTTGGCAATTCCCACCACCAATTAGACCATGTCACAGCATTTCGGCTACTTTTCCAACAAATTCAAAATCACTCGATAATTTTGTGTACTTTACATTTATACTATGATTACATTTTAAGTTACGATAATTTTAATGCATACATGTACACTCACAAAAATACGCCCAAAATAAGAGAAAATAGGAAATAGCCTTGACAAAAGGCATTATTTTTCCTTGTCTTAATATTGCATTTTTTTTATATCTGTGTATTAACTTCATGTGGATATCCTGATGAAATTTAAAGTTAAATTCACAACTAACGGTTTTGCATTATATGAGGCTGTGAACTTGTCCATGGAGGCTGCAAATTAATAAATATTGTATTCACTGACATTTATTTTGTATTTACATTTGTAATGAGTTTCCACAGTATCTTTTTCTTACTGGTGTGGCTACAGTGACTGTGAAGTGTTTTGTGTTTTGTCGATTGTTGTCAGTTATTTGTTTTGTTTTCTTGGAATTTGTAAAATAGGTATGTTATTTTCATTTTGCAGTATATCGTAGACAGTACTTGTATACTTTGTTATCCAGCATAAATATCAGATTGTACGAAAGAATGAGATTGTAAATTTCGTTCATTAATATTGTAAGATGACGCTTTCTCTGGGGCCTTCAGAGTCCCATGTTGACTATGTCCCGGTCCCTTTACTCACTTGTTGTCAGTGTCTGAGTGGTATATACAAAATACGACCAAGTAAACGTCAGAATATTAAAAAAACAGAAACCTAAAAATCAGTTGCCCATGCCAAGAGAGCCGCAAAACCAAAACAATCTGTCAGCCGTCGCCGTCCACAGCAGGGATATAGTTTTACACATCGAAATTGAGAATAGCTGCATGTGTAGACATATTGCATAGAAATGAACACTAAATACATCTATCCCGGCCAGCAATCGAATCATCAAACTTCATGAGTGACGTAACTGGCATTTCCATCTATTTGCTTCTATTCCCACTATCCTAAAACGCTCAAGTGAATGTGTCAAATTCGCGAGTGTGCGTATTTCGTACAGTGCGTAAACATTGCT